TTTTCAGGGACCTTGTGTGTATTTGCATTGTTCTACTTTCGGGTTTTCTTATGAAAGGACCATTTTTTACTTCGTCGCTTAAAATCACCTTCTTACACACACTGCCGCCTGAAGGCAATTGCCCGGGTTGCAATCGGAGTCAGTGCATTACTTGTAATATTCTCGACATGGAAAATCTATAGCTTCGGGAGCTTGATTTTTATTTTTTTAGCATCCTCATGGAATTTTGAATGAGATATAAGGAAATGTGTATGACACTTACTACCGAGAGTTAGGATACCACGTTTGCAACTAGGCAATTTAGTTTATGACCACCGTCCCGTCTACAGAATCCGTTGGGCACGGATCCCTGAATCCATCCGTTTGCCGTTTTGTACTGACTAGCAGAACCTTGGCTGCTTAGTTCTCCCGGTTTGGACAAACTAATATTATGGACCACTGCCTTTTATTTGATAGGGGTTACATGAGGAGCTAAGAATCATGAAGTTTGTCTTGTCGAACTTTTCGAGAACACCGACGTGCGCCAAACCCACACAATCGTGTATATTTGGTCTGTGTATGGTTTAAAGATATCACTGGGTGAGTAAAGCCAATTATAAACTGCCTATCTCGTAGATTTTCCCGTGGTGGTTAGTTAAGTTGTAGGAGAGAGTTATCCAAAAGCACTTTCAACCATCTGTTCAACAGAAGATTTAGCTGTGCACGTAGCTCGTTTCCGGTGTAATAACCACGGTTTATATCTGTAATCTCAACGGCTCATGCATATTCAATAACTACCAAGACCTGAAGAGATTACCACCTGCTGTCATACCGATCAGTGACGCTTTTTGCACTGACCAATGCAATTTTGATTCATATGCGCTCGTCCTTCGTTCCTTTAATTCTTTTGGCAAACAGCTGTAGTGCTTGAGCTTCCTGAAACCATAATCACAGTAGTTTTGAAGGCATATTGCTCGCATAATTTACAACTCAACGACTTTTGTAATGAAACACGGAGGAACAAACATCTGTCCTCGCCCAGTGAATAGAGGACAGTTAGCCGCCTAAACTTAGAAGAGGTAATGTAAGAGGAATACGCACTGTAGTCAACCGTAACCACAGCATAATTATTGTGAAAATTTCCCCTTTCCTGGCAGAACTCAACCATTCCGACCCACCTCAAATCGCCCGCTCACTCTCTCTATAGTCGAAGAGAATTATTGGATTGTATATCTATATTCTTTGATCCTAGAAGTATTGTATGCACAGACTCTATGTATGTACAGACGAGGTGGTCGAATTCATCAGTAAGTTTATGAGATTTAACTCAATATGGAACGAAGATTATGCATCCAGAGATCATCCTTTATGCCGCCTCGGATTTTCGGCCCATACAGTTAGTAACCAATGGCTTAGTTCATTATGTCTGTACCTTATTTGGTTAGTTATTATTTACTGACATTGCTACCTACATAGCTTCGATGTGAAAAGTAATAGTAAAGACAACGTGCTGTCAGCCCTTGTGTAGTTGAATGAAGCTCATAGAAAAACAGATCGCGTACAGTGATGCGCAAAACTTTAAGTTAGGGTATGCTTTAAACGGCGGCTTGTCCGAAAGAGCGACACTAGTATACAGAAATACATTCATATAACTTAACGTGCCATGTACTATTATAAGCCATTGTAAATTAATTACTGTGCTCTAAAGTTCCGTGGTCAAAGATAATGCCAAGAAAAACAATAGGGCCAGCGTGCGTTTACGAATGCATGGTTAGTTCAATGGCTTGTTTGACATAGGTTTAAATCGTAAGACGATACCTGCTTTTTAAAAGACAAAAAGTCAGCCTAGTGGGAAATACTTCCCAGCTTAAGAAATATGAATTCAGTGAACGCAACAAACTATCTGCCAAATTGAAGATTCGGTACCTCACAAGACTTTACATATCTTGGTGACTACTAAAACCCTGAATTGTTCTACCCAGAGTATGATGTGATATATTGAGATCTAGTTGTAATACCAGTATCAAAATGCTCAAATTTATAAATTCTTCAAAAAAGTTGAAAAACTACTGAAAAAAAAACACTTGAAAGCAAACGTAGTGCATAAAGTACATTGTGTACATTCAGTATAAGCAAACCCATTATCTGAGTAGACAAATTACGACCAAACTTCAGTACATGATGCAGTATGATACATAGATATATTTCTTGTCGAACCACAAATAAATTTGCTGCAAACCTAATGGACCGTGTCATGTATATACTGGAAGATAGATGTACGTTGTGGCGTAGGTGTTATCGAATGAATCAAGTAATTTGCATAAATTCGCTGAAATCAAATGTTCGAAGGTTGCCAGTTTGTCGCCTTCCTTTCAGAAATGGAATATGAGCAAACTGTAGATAGGATTGTAAAACACTTTTCAGATACCATAAACGGGTTGAGTATACACCAGAAATAGTTCAGAATATTCCATCGATCAATGAACACCTTAAATAACGTACGTTCCTAGATACACATTTCGAGGTTGAATAACGAGGCTTTGAGGGTTTTGTTACTAAGCATATTATTTAATCATAGTTCCAGCGGAATACATTGGATTCAACCAAAGATTTTGGCAAGCACTGAAATCGTAAGAATTTTGTGGAATCTTTAATTTCGGTTACTTGGAGTTTGATGAAATCAGCACTGGAACTTAGTGTGCACAATGAAAATGACCGGATGGTCTAAAATTAACCAAGGATATTACAGTATTTCGCTTATTTTGGTAGGAATCGTGAAAATATAACTGTAGTAGCTCTTCTGTCGAGTTCAAACAAATAATATTACCTTATTAAGCGTGCCTGTCATCAATACAGAGATTACTCAAAAGAAAATGTCCTATTCGGAATTTTCTCTCTAGCAACTAGATCTCCCTGTAGATCAGTCACCATAGATACTGTGGTTGACAAAGTGAACGGGATAATCACCAAAACTGTAAACTGCGGCACGTCCCACGATTTGTAGCAGTACAATAACATGTGATAAACAGATCTTCTTTGCTGCAAAAGAAATGGTGAGCTGATCAACGTTTAGGGAAAGAACTCAGACATTATTACCTTAGCACTTCGAAACATTGCTAATGATTCATGTAGGCTGCGTTCAATAAATTCTTTTGCACAAGTAGGAAACTTTAATTCTAGATCATCCGAGAAATGGTTGAATGAGCTCATGCCTCAAATTTAATGCATGTGCTGCAACCATTCTCTTATTCACCAAGCTGGCCAGGAATTGTTTAGGATCTAAGGCCACTGTGTTTAGCTAAAAAATCTCCCATCCGTAAAGAAAAACGGATCGATTAGGCGATGTTTGATCAGTATGCTTGTTATTGATAGACTTGAACCGGGTAGGAGTTGGAAGTTATAAAATGCTACAAATCACTCAGGTTTAGATAAAAACGAGATAAAAAAAATGCCATCCAAGAAAACAGTATTCTAAGTGCCACATGCGAATGAATGGTAGACATTAACAGTACTTTGGATGAATGGAACATTTCTGAATGCGATGAAGTTCAACTTGATCAGTAGCAAAATTAAATGGCAGTCAGCTAAGGAGTTAAAATGAGTTAAAACATTTTGTAAGGTGTAAGGCGATAGGGAAATTTACACAATGTGGACAGTATTACTGAAGCTTACAAAGTTAAATAAAAAGAGTTAAAGTAACAGAGTACAAGCTATAATCGTTTATATAGACCAAGTTCGGTATTACATACTGGGCACATATGCTTGGCATCTTTGCATGTGTTCACAAAGAACGGAATTAAGCAGCAACCGAGGACTCCTCTGGAGAAGAAACAAATGCACAAGCGCCACTTTATTCATATGCATTAGGATTTTGTTACTCAAGAATGTTCAAAAGGTTGGCAGAAGTCGTGATCAGTCTTGCGTTTTCTTGGTCTGCTTGGGCAAGGGAATGTAGTCGCGGAATTTCAGCCAGCGTGTTGTCCGGCCTAATTGTTGGGTATTGTATATTTTGTACTATATAACCTCTTCAAATGCTCATTTTTTATCTGGATTTGAGTTGAGTACCGTTCGAGTAAATCCACGTTTTGTCATTTTCAATTCAGGTTGAGGAAGCAACTGTTTCTCAGGGATTTAGTATTTACTGTGACGAAGATTTACTGTTACCAGTGCACTTTAACAACTTTATTCACCTCCTGGATGACAGGAAGGTGAGATCGCTTTATCTTTGAGGTAAACGCTGTTTATCTGTTCACAGTTTCCTTTTAACAACCATTATTCTTCTTCGTTAATTCAGTATGTATATTTCTAGCCTTACAGCGTCCAATCCTTTTGCATCCCACACAAATGTCACAACAAATGTGTCCTGCATCAAAGCATTTTCCAATAACTAATAAACTGTAGTTTAGACAGTAAATTTCTTACCGATTGCATACGTCTTTTATTCCGACTATTGGCAAACAGGTTTTACAATATTGCGAACTTAAAAACTGTTTTGAAAGTCATACTGACAAACATTTAATCATAATTGTAGTGAGTGGCCACCCTGGTTCATAATAATTTTGTGAAGCTAGGTAAATAATGATGGAAGTCTGGCAAGGAACTTCCTTTCACTAGCAGTGACATTATCACACCTGATTCTCCTGCTCAAGACCTGATGTTAAGTTGTGATTTTACTTGTGGAAAAACACCTATAGGTCCCGTTCATCTGGAATGGCGTGAGATTTATTACGATATTTTCATGTGGAGGAAAGCCAACGCGATCAATCTCAGCCGAATAGCAAATTTAAGCTGACAATATTGGCCAAGTGATAAAAGCAATAAAAGCGGTTTATCCAAATCTGTCTATTATGATAAAAACAGTGGATTTTATCTAGGATGATAGGTGCTCCTTGTCTTTAAGTATACAGTAGCCCCCATGTGAATTCAGCATGATTCCAGTATCGGTCTAAACAGAAAGCCCAGGAGACCAGCGGTAAGCAATTTACGCTGTCTTGCTTGATGAATTATATTTATATGAAACTATTGCTGATGACTTGTACTTTTGCGCTGTGTTTCAGCTTAACCATTAATGGCTTAACCATTAGTGTCAAAACACCATCTCTTAGCAACTGAGTCTTGAGTTCGTACTTACGAAGTGGAGCCACCACGTAACTTAGTTTCAAGCCACAGATTAGCAACACTGTTTATTTTTTTAACAATGAGTCAAACAGTTATGGATCTCAGAATACAGGAAACTACAAGTAAAGTGCACCTATGAGAGGCCTAAGTAATTCGAGTGCGCGTCTGCAGGCTTTAATCTGGCGGAAAAATAAGTGACAAGGGCTACTTTCAGAGGTATCGCAGTAGGACGCAGCACATTTGTTAAGCTGTCCGTTAAGAAAAGAACTATCATTTTTTAACGGTATATTACTGATTACTTCTAAAATGTGGACTGAAAAACAGTAATTTCTACAGCATGGCTGTACTGAGCTTCCTGAAAATAAGAGCTCATTAGAAAAATGAACGTGGAAAACAAATCTAGTGAGCGAAGCGGTACAGAGATCTTGTTTGCCACATATGTTCAGTTTTATTCATGTGCAAGGTAGACTCAGGAAGAAACGTCCCAAGAAGACGCCTTAACTTGTCTTACGAACTCGTTCTAGTTCTGTATCACTGCAAACAGACCTCCCTGAAAACAAAAACGTTCAATTTATATGCTAAACAATACATTTGGTCTAGAAAGTAAAGGTGCTCCAAATGAGACTGAAAGCATCTTTTTGTTTTGATTTGACTGTCCCACCGCAGATTGCGCTTACTCATCAACCTCTAGTTCGGTAGCTAATTGTCAGTGACCACGTTCCAAAGCAAAATGATGCACTAAATTCTCAACAGACGAATTGCCATCAGCAGGTTTCGAGTAAGCTTATTAAAACTGCAAGAATCAGCACAAAAGGAAGCCCTCTTCATCCGCTTCTTGACATACAACAGGGGAAAATTCTATGCACTATTAGCTTTTGCATTTTCGTAGCATATCGTGTACCCGCCTTTTGATCTCTCTTTGTAGGCGGTCCGGTATCTGACGCGAGCCACAAGATTAGAATCTCTTGCCTTATAGGGGGAATTCGTGCTCAGTCCAAGAACCATATCCAAAGAAATTATTATTGCTTGTAAATGAGTCTGTATAGTCCTCGGTGACAGGCTACAATAGTGAATTTCTGGATGATATGATTCCCTGATTTTTCAACCTTGGCTTCCAGATACCCTTGGAGCTCTACTTTTCTGTGCCATCACCCACCACTATTTCTTCTCAATTCAAGTCACTCGTGAACATGCGGTTATTATTAATTTCATCCTCAGGACTTCCTCCTTTAAGTTTAAGATGGCAACGAGCACTTGCTGAATTCAGATTTGCCCACACACACCGTCAGTCTTCAAGAGGTAGCTTCGCGTTCTTTCCACAAGCTTTGCGCAGAGCCTTCTTTCTGCTTCATGTATTGCTACGGCACCACTCTATCCCTTGAACACATCTCGTGGTTCCATCTCGACTAAGTGCGACAATGCCACTTGCGTTAAAGCATTGAACACAACCCAGCGCGATGACGGGAAGCATGAAGATCTTTCCTGACAACTGTGTGGCCTTCGGTGAAGGCATTAGACCTTGTCTGCAACGGTTAGAACACAGCCCACAACAAACATCCTCAGTTCCGTCTTTAAGGTGAACATTTTCGGAGATGACTATAAGTAGTTTTTCCAGAAAGCCTTGTGCACCCGAAAGGAGTTACGTGCGATAGAATATAAAGAATAAAACCACACTCTGCCATGATTAAAAAGTCTTACCCAATGAGAAAGATACCTGTGCACGCTAGCCAGGTACATGCGCCATTAACGTACTGCACCGTTGTAATCACCTTGTTGAGACATATACTACAAACGTAGTTCTGTGCCTCCGGACCGAAACTGGCACTGATTATTACAGCTGACGGTTGTTCAGTTATGTAATCTATAAACAAACAAATCCAAGTGAGGAAATTCCAGTAACTAGTGCTTCAGAAAAAAGCGATAGAATATAAAGAATAAAACCACACTCTGCCATGATTAAAAAGTCTTACCCAATGAGAAAGATACCTGTGCACGCTAGCCAGGTACATGCGCCATTAACGTACTGCACCGTTGTAATCACCTTGTTGAGACATATACTACAAACGTAGTTCTGTGCCTCCGGACCGAAACTGGCACTGATTATTACAGCTGACGGTTGTTCAGTTATGTAATCTATAAACAAACAAATCCAAGTGAGGAAATTCCAGTAACTAGTGCTGTCAGAAAAAAGCACAGTATCGTTAAAATATCCTGGAATGTGCGTTTGCAGACGTTGTTAATCTGCACAACATATCTCCTGGCCTGAGAACTACGCTAATCCCAGTTAAAAACTTCCTCTAGTTTAAGATAAATAGGTTTATTGGCAATGAATGACGAAAATTATCTCATTGACATTACTCCTTGGGCTTATGGTCGTTTTTTGAGCATAGAGTTGTCCCCCACGGCGGAGAACACTTTAGTTCGATCTATTAAATTAGTAGCAGTAGTAGTAGCAGTAGTAGTAGATCTTCTATTGGGACAGATCACTCTTAACTAATCTAGTTGTGCTGAACGTTTCAGACGAAACATTATTAAGATATTTAGCCAAATTAGTCGCTGAAGGTGACTGATTGATTAAAAATTTAAAACGTTTCAGGTAGTGTCGTTTGTTGTGCAAGAAAACCTGTGGCCATTAAGTTTGAAGCGTTACAATGTGAGTTTTTTCCATGTGGAAACGTGTTCTATTGTGTACACTAACAAATCGAGGGAAGATCGGGGTCTATCTAAAAAGAACATCGCCATCGGAGCAAATTTTGGACCTATTTCGATAAGACTTGCCCAATGTCTGATAAGAGGATCTTGTGTGTCGTACATTATTTTCTGTCCGTCAACGTTTGTGCGTCTATCTTCCACGAATATGCAAGTAGATGTCTCTGTTGAACGAAGATTCATGTTCTTATATGACCGCAGGAAATTAATAATTAGATAGTCTCCTGGTGTCATGATGGATACTCACCTACCCAAACTAGCCAGCTGCATTCCTGGGATGCTTATTTCTTATTTCCTTTCCGATATTTAGGAGCCCTTCAGCGAAGTTTTCTTCTGCAGGCGCAGCCAGTCGAAATCCAACAGCTTTATTGGGAATCATATCCAGGTGTATCCCACGAACCTTTACGACATCCATCGGTCTCCAGTTGGCCGAAAAGCGGTGTTTTTGCTTACACTTAGGAAGGGTAGTGGGCAGGAACCCAGATCTTCAGGTACGCTGTGGAACTACAGCATAGTGCTGTGAAGCTGGGGACCGGTGTAAGGTTTGGTCGAAATAAGAAGATAGGTTTTATGCAGCAGCCTCACGACAAATCCCTTCAATTGAAAACACGGCCGGTTCTTCTTTGTGACTGTTTTGAGGAGCAAAGCCAATCTTCATGTGTTGTGGTTGATCCTAAACTGTACAAACATGCATTCATTTACTCATCCTGAGATAAGCCCTATTAAAACCTTCCGCCTTAACAAATGATACAATTTCACTGTCATTACGATAAAATTCCATTCGTCAGAATTTGGATCCGCAAAACTGCGATTCCCAGACACTGGGGCTCAGACAAACATTGGCTTCAATGACTAGGACTTTTCAGTTCCTGGGAGACAGTAACCGATGTGTAGACCCTCAAAGCTCTTTTCTAGTATGTATTATGTTCGACAAAATTTCTTTCGGTTATCAGCGAAAAGCCCGGATAAGGTTTTCACCTCAGTAAAATGAAATCCTCCAATTAAGCCAGCCAATTGCACTGCAGAGAAATTGCTCTTTTGCTGGCTTACAAAACGAGTCATTGATTTGGGTTGAAGGCGGCTGAAGTACACGATAGCTCATACATACAGTAATTTGTCTTAAACCTTGTTCTAGGTAAAATTCACTCTCCACTCTCAGCTGTGTACAGTTTGGGTGCGCGTGCGTTATGAGATACAGATAGAGTTGAAAGCACTATCTGTCAAAGATGCACGTTTCCACGGCAAAAAACGTCGAGGGATCAGCTCAATACCCATACTAAGAGAGCGTTGAAAAGATCTCACTTTGCATTGGAACCTTCTTGTCAATAGTTTCAGGCCAGACATCAACAAGCAGTACCCAGATAGGGGAAAAAGTAACAGGGAACAAAAAACTAGGTCCTCAGACGTCCGAATGACTCAGTAAATAATACCATGGAATGGCGTTATGAAGACACGAATTCAAAGCCCGACGTCAAAGTCCTGTGTCTTGAAATGCTGTCTACACACTAGTTTGGGACTTCGTTCATAGAAATTTCGTGATGCATGTGATGGTTTGTTGCTCCATCATTTCACTCACAGTTCTTGGTGCCTAGAATGCTTCCAATTTACATGGCCTAGTTATTATAGAGGGAAGTGCCCGAAGATAACATTTCAACATCGTCACTTTACATTATCTACGTATATAGCTTTTTAATATCTACGGTTGCTTGACACTAACTCAAGGGTTTTTAGAGGTTTATTTTTAACACTGAAGTTTTCCAAAGGACACACTGACTTGCTTTTGTCCAGCGTCTACCTCTTCTAACGACATACACTTCCACACGTAGCTACGGGAATACCATAATTGTGGGGTACAGCACCTTTTAGGTGAGGGAGGATATTTTTGTCAGAATCCTGACGTCCCTCAAGCAATTTCCAATCAGTTGAAGGCTCCCAAAATGCGAAACGCTGTGAAAGTCCGATAGAATGCAGCCTTTCAAATTGTACAATTAATCAAAACGTTCATCAGTTTGGAAGGGTTTTTGTCACCAAATGTATCGTTTAAGAATTAACGACAGGGTGGCAGCAACGATAGTGCTTTCAACTACTTGAATTTCCTCCGATTCGGTTAGCATGACTTCAGCTTAAAGTAAAAGTACATACTTACACGTAAGGTAATTAATACGATGTATTCATCGATTGCGGCCAATGTCTTGGGTGAATTTAGTGGTTAATAAAGACCTTCTCTAGCTTATGTTTGGATCAAGACTGTCCAAAAATCTATTAAGTTGGGCATTTGGGAAAAGTTTTCCAGTTTTATCTTTTCTAACTTCACCTTGTTTGCGTGGAAGGAAATCAGCTATCGCTTTGCGAATCCCATCACGCTGGGTTAGATTTTCAATCCACACGTGATGCATCGCGGGTTGAAATCATTCTAAAACATACGATTTACAGACTGCTGGTGCTTTTTAAAAAGCATGAGAGCGACACACGGACTCTTTGGTTTCATCACTATTTGACTTCAAGTTGTCTAACAAGTCCGCATCTCAAACACTGTATTTGAATCAAGCTGTTCAACTCATTGTCCTGATCCTCTGGCCAGTGAGCATAGCATCGAAGTGTAGTAACACAGAGTGTGCTTAAACCTGCAAAAGTTGATGACCAAAAAATTGATTTTTTATCTCCTCTGAAACAGCAGCCGACAGCCAACGGGTAGAAGTATTCCGGANCTGTGTGGAAGAGCGGACTTATTTACCCATGTTGAGGAAAGACAATTGAAAATTTCAATGAAATCTCCCCTCTCCTCGAGAGACGGAACCAGAAAATAGAATTATAGTTCCGTTTCACTCGTTTTTCACAATCTTATGTTTTTTTGCCCCAGCAGTCCAAGTGAAGATTTCCGTAAGCCCAGGTTCAATTTCCAATGAGTTCCATCAATTGCCGGAAAAATCATCCATTAATTGGCATTTTTGTGAATACAGACAACGTGTTCCATCACAGTTTTTCAACTCACTTGCATCTGGTGAGTAATGTTAGTGTTGCAAATAAAAGAGGCAACGTTTGATCAGGATGTATACGCTGCAAATCAACGCTTGGTAGATCTAATTTTCTGCATGGGGACTAGTGAAATTTGTTTTATACTACTTGAGCCGTCACATCACACTCACTGTGAATTATATGATTCTGACTCTATCGATCAAGTATACAAATCATAACGCTGTGTTGTATTGACTTTGGAGTCACGTAACATCAATTGCTGTGGGTGATTTGATTTCTGCGTTCGCCGTTGATGTCGTATTGAAAAACCAAAAGGGCCTTTCTGGTTGACTCATTTTTTAGAAAACTCAGTGCTCTTACCGGATTTCTTAGATGGACATATTTATATTCAGTAGGTCTTCTCAATGGCGAAACGATATAGCATTATTTCCGCATGGCTGTGTTTCCACTAATAAGGTGGATTTATATCGAGCTCACTGTGGAAAGACTACTTCTCTCATAAGTCACCAGGGTGTAAGATGGTAGAGGCAGTTTCAAGAATAGTGAGTTTCCGGCCAAAAGATGTTATTTTTAATAAGTAATGGTTTCTTATTTTTACTGAATTAGCGGGGTTGGAAGATTTGGAGGGCAGAGGCTTTCAAGCCCCACGGTACGGTACTCTAAGTGCATGAATTTATCGTTAAATTCTATGAACTTTCACGATTTTTGTGAGTGCCTTCTCCGTTGCAACCACCTCTCATTTGAGAGAGGTTTAGTAGCTTTTGATGTCGCCATAAAAAATGCGAGTGCACTCTTATTTAAATTGTGCAAAATCCTAACGATCAAATTTCTTGACTGCCACAAGGCTATAAATATGGACTATTCCGTGGGTCATGTCGTATTGTTACTGAATTAGATTTAAGGACGCAAGGATTGCAATTATTGTGCTTTCCTCATGGATTTTACCGTATCTTTGTGTCACATTCCTCACAGACATTCACTTTTATGAGGCGTATAGCAGGATTTGAAAAGACATTTCCATGTTTGACTTTTATGTGGCTCCGTTTAGATTGTAAAATAAGGTACTCAGCATGGAATGCGGTATAACATTCAACTAGGTAGTGATGAAAGTATTATTAACCGTTGGCTTCAAAGTACAGTACCAATCAGTGAATTTTTCTCACCTAATCCGAATGCTTTAACGTCGTATCCGACTAAAAATAATATCAAACAAAACTTTTCGGTTAGTTCTGATTAATGAAATACTGGGTGTTAGTTCACTGAAAGGATAGCAATTCCTGAAAATGGTAGAGTGGTTCAATTGGTTAATGCGCAAAAATTTGGCTGTTATCTTTTGGTGCAGAAAGTTGGTGGGTATTACAAAAGTTAAAGCTCACAATTTTGCGCGCCCAAGTGTGAAACGTATAAGCAGAAAGTGACGGCCGTAAAAAAGTCTTTGTTAAGTAGAA